AATTTAAGATATATATAAAAGTGTCAGACCTTCCGGAACACTTTCAAAAGTTAAGTTGAAAAAGTTCTACTTTCTATATGCTTTTTTTTTATTTGCCCCCCTATATATAGGGAAATAGTCTGATTTAAAAAAACAGCATGTCGAATGAAAGATATAAATAAATACTACTCCTCATGAAAATATTGTATTGATCCATACATTTTTTAAAAAGTTATAGCACTTTTATGTAAAAAATGTAAATTATAAAATCGAAAATTTTCACACAAAAATAGCATTCGGTAGCCGTTTTCACCATGAAGACAAGTCCAGAGGTCAAATTTCTTTTTTTCAAATTAAAGTACATTACATTAGCTTTAATTTAAGATATATATAAAAGTGTCAGACCTTCCGGAACATTTTCAAAAGTTAAGTTGAAAAAGTTCTACTTTCTATATGCATTTTTTATATTTGAAGCCCCCCCATATATAGGGAAATAGTCTGATTTAAAAAAAAAGTATATCCAATGAAAGATGTATATAAATACTACTTCTCATGAAAAAATTGTATTGATCCATACATTTTTTAAAAAGTTATAGCACTTTAAAGTAAAAAATGTAAATTATAAAATCGANAAATCGGTCAAGCAAGAGCTGAGATTGAGCGTTCACAGACACAAAAAAAAAAAAATAAAAAAATACATCATAGTAAAATTAATACCTTCTTAGCTTCGCATCAAAGCTAAAATATGCTTATAACATTATTTAAGAAAACAGAACTGTTAAAAGTAATCTTTATACGGAATGAGTAGTTGCAATAAATTCTGAAATTATTATATTTTTTAATGTATGAAATAAAATCAATAAATAATAGAATTATAATTATTTAAATATTATTAATATTTCGTGTTAGGAAAATACCACATATTCTTTCTTACACGGGAAATATATTACTGCATTAACCTCTAATTTTCTACGTAAATAATTCATTATGTAATTAAATTAGTTCTTGACATAAAATGTGGATAATATTACATTCAAAGTTACTATACAAGCAATATTTATTTAATTTTTAGCTTCGATGCGAAGCTGAAAAGTTATTAATTTTACCATGATGTGATTTTTTATATGACTGTTGCCACATTTTCTCAGCTTTCATCGGACCGATTTTGATGAACAATATGTTAAAAGATCATAAATCGTATCTAATTGAAGACATTACCCTTAAAAATTGATAAAATTTCCCTCGTTCCTTGTAAATGGGGTAAATCTCCAATTGTTAACACGGCCGCC